GTAACAAGTTACGTGATACTAAATTTTTATCCAAAACACTTGCCCCTTTCTTAGGAGGGCCTTATCTGTCTAGCCATAGGAAAAAAATGTTTTTGCCGGCTGAAAGACTCCCTTGCCTCTGCACTACAGCTATCACCACCCAAACCATACCCACTACAAGTCACATACGTAAAAATATCCTACTGTAAGTGCAACCTCGCTGTAGTTAGTAGTACTAAATGCCTCCACTCAGAGTCAGCCTCTGAGGACCAAAAAGTACAAGTAAGCCCAGGTTACCGCAGTCTTGTCGGACAGTGGCTCTCAACCTTTTTCCTACTGGCCTGTCCCAACCTCCAGTCCCCTGAATGCCCAAGGCCATGCTGGTGTCCCTCACTCCCAACCCGTAGCCCCTGCCCCCCTCAGCCCTGGTGGAGGGGTCCCCAGCTGCCCCCATCCTGCTTGGGCTGGAGCACAGTGGCTGCAGCAGCTCTGGCTCATGCAGGCAGCAGCAGAGCAAGTCTGGCCCCAGCACAGGCTGGAGGGAGGAGGAGAGGTCTATGGCATGCCCCCCTCCCTGGCATGGGGCTCCCATGCTGTGCCAGGCAGCCTGGTCAGGGCCCTTCCCAGCCCCAAGCAGCATCTCACGACCACTCTGCCCTTGCAAGCACGGGCACCGGCTCCAGTGCCACCAACCTAGCCATGCAGTTCCCTCCGCCCCATCCCACTGCCCCTCTGCCTGCTGCAGCTCATGACCCTTTGAAATATTCTTGCGACCCACTTCTGAGTCATGACCCACAGGTTGAGAAACACTGCTGTACGAGATAATATAGCAGTATATGTAGATGCAGATGTTCTCTCACCAAACCTGGGGCCAGGCCATGGCCTCGGACCTGGGGCCTTGCTCTGCCTGGCACAGCCACACATCCCAGACGGCCACCTCCTCAGCTTGAAACCAGATTTTTTTTTTTGTTAAACTAGATGGGAAGCAAAGCAGATGGAGGCAATAAATACATGGCCTCCCCCAAGAAAATGTACTTGTATCACTGCTAAATAAGTAGGGACCTACCAAATTCAGGGTGGCTGCCTCCCGATTTCCTGGTCCAAGCGCAGCACTGGTCACCATTTTCACATCAGAGAGCAACAGGTCCCCCCGCCACACACTTCTGATTGGCTGAGGGGCCCCAGAAGTCCTGCCCCTTCCCAGAGATTGACAGATTCATGCTGTCTGTCAATTTCTTGGGAGGGGCAGGACTTCTAGGGCCCCTTGGCCAATCAGGCATGGGGAGCCTGCTGCAGTCCGCCATGAAAATTTCCTGCCCCCCTCCACCAGTGCTTCAGGACACTAGTGCTTCCCACCCTTTTGTTTCCAGTTCCCACCCGTTCCCCCCCACACACACTCACTGATTGTGTGCTTTTTCATGGGAACCTACCAATGTTGCAGTTTCCGCAAACACTGCCAATTGTGTAGGTCCCGATTCATAACATCTGTACAAATGACCAACCTAAACCAGCCTAAACAGTGTGCACCTGCTGGCTGGCATTGCTCTGCCTGCCATCAGAAGAGCGGTGGCCATTAGGATAGAATGATCAAGACAAAGTGAAGATGTGAGACACCCGCTGATGCCCGTCCCACAGCTCACAAATGTCTGAAGTTATGCAGGAACTTCTTCACCAGCACCCAACCTCTCAATGCCACACCAAGAAGACATGACTACAGATGTGGAATGAGAGGCTGAAGAAAATCCCTGACAGCAAAAAAAATGGACATTCCAGCAGCCGAGTCCTTACCACCAGGGGCTGAAGAACCATGGCAAAGATGGCGATGTCTCAACCACCCACATACCAGAGCTGGAACTAATGAAGAAGTGAGGCTATACCATTGGTTTAACTACCAATGACTGCGGCACAGAGCCTCAGACTATGCAACACCTGCTTGAAGGCACATATGCCACCTGCTGCAATGCCCACCACTTGTAGTCACATATACAATGAAAGATCTCACAAAGTACAATAAACCAGCACAAACATGTGTAACAAAATGGTCAGATGTGGTGTGGAGCCACGAGAAGATGGCCTCCTCAGCTGAACACTGGGGTGGACATAGATGGTCAGAACCCATCTGGGCTCAACCACACACCCACTCCCTACAAACTAAGTTACCAGTGAGGGTCAGGTGACCCTTTACCCCTTCCTAAAAAAACCCTGACTTGGAAGAGGAAGTGTCTGAGCAATCAGGCTCAATCTCTTACCCATGCTGCTTCACCCTTAGCTTGTGTCTCCACTGCCTCTCCGAAAGATTCTCTGACTACCCATCCTGGCTTGTCCATAGACTCTGAGTCTGGCCTGATCCTTTGGCTTCCTGACTCAACTCTGGTTTGAACTCCTGGATAACTGACCCAGCTGGCCTCCTGACCCCATGCTCTGCCTGACCCTCTGGATCTCTGACTTGGCTCCCCAGATGGATCTTCTAGCTTCCTGGCTCCCCCACACTCAGATGCTGCATGTTCTCCTCAGATCATGGTTGCTTTTTCTGAGCCTGGGTGACCCCAAGTCCTGGCCACCCGTGGCCCAGTATGACACCTGATAGTTAACTACCATCTACAGGCAAATAGTGTTTTTCAAGAGCTTTCCAATGCCATTCATATAGTATTTCTTTTAACTTCTTACAATGTAAGACGTACATTCAAGACCTACAAAATAAATAAAATGCAGGTCCTCTCTCCCCCAAAATGTACTCACTGACTCAGGGTCTAAAGATATTTTGAACACTCTGTTACACTTAATAAGGTTCAAACCTCTCCTTCTCCTCATGCAGTTAATCAGATGTCTGTAAAAATAAGGTAATACCATAATAAATTCACCAGACAGACATATGGAAGCAACTTTTATTTGTCATCATTTGCATGACAGTGATTTACTCTTCATTTCTTGCTCATTTGATAGCCAGCAGTTTCCTCCAAAATCTTCTCCACACACAAAGCCAGCATTGTACAAATCAATGCAGTAGGCAGTTTATTCTACACACACGCATAATATATATTCACTCAGTGATACAGTTTGTATGTAGCTCTTGCTTTAGCTGCATATGTGCTAATGACAGAATCCCTATGAGAGAGAATACTATCTTTTAAAAAAGATCACAGTTTAAATAATTAAGGTAATCAATGACAATTTTGCATGTTCTTGTGGTGCACTCAGAACCTCCAGCTACACCAAATATTTGCTTTGGAGACAAAAAGGATCTTTTTTAAAAAGGAAAAGCACCTCTCCCAAGGGAGCGCCTATCTTTTCTTCATCTGAGGATCGCTTAAACAAGATTACAAGCCAAAATCTTTTTTTTTGTGAAAATAAAAAAAATAAAAGTCATTTTTAAACAAACTGTACTAAATCTTTGTTGATTTCCAGTGAAGGGCAGAGAAAGTATTTCAGCCCAAGATCAACATATAATCTCTGAAATCTGATGTAAATGGAAACTAAATGAGGCTTACTGATTTATGAGACGCACAACTAAAATACTCATGAACTGCTGGCATTTCACCGAACATGACTCATATGAGTTTTTGTCACTTCCGTAATACACCAGCCAGCAGACTTTTGTGGCCAAGGTCAAAACAATTTTTTTTAGTTTTCCTAATTGGGGCAGTAGGCCTAAAGAGAAAATAATTAGTATATATACTCAGCTTGTCACATTAGTCAATCACCAAATTAAATAGAGTATGAGGAGGCCAAAAATTTTTAAAAAAATCCTCAAAATCCATTCTGTGATCTTTGAAAATGGTCATCCTAGGAATTGGGACTTCTGAAAAAAATAATTTCATGTATATGGCTTAAAATTCCTGTTCAAGATGTAACTCAGGGCAAGTGTGTTTTAAAGATGGCATTTGTCATGGAAAAGGGCACAACATTAAAGTTAAGCCAACATTATTTGCCTGTGAATAGGAAAAACGACTCTTTTGTCTTCTAGTTTAGTTGTCTACGGAAGAGAATGTGGTTTGGGCTCATATGGAACAAAGTTAATATTCAAGATGAAGACAGAAAAAGAAATAAAAGCAGAAGCAAATGGAAAAATGTAGGGAAAAAAGATGGAAATACTATAGTATCCGACTGTACAAACATGTCAAGTGATTTCAAAATGCAAAATGTCCCATGATTAAACATTTTAAAAGGACTATTGGACAGAAGTTAATTTATTTAGCCATCATTCTTCCTACATTTGACTGTATTTCTCTGGAAGAGCTTTGTTATTCTGGTGAGGGGAACGTGGTAGTATCCAGTGTTCACTGCTAGGCAAATAATAACATTAGCATGGGCAACGTCTTTAAAACTTACCAATTACTGCAGCAGTTTGGTTTTTTTAATTTCCAGGCCTGTTTTATGCAGGAGGTTTACTGTGCAATTAATCGTGGTTAGAGTCCTCAGAATCCATATATTTATGAATAAAGATATGTCCTGCTCCTGAAATTTAGTTTTATTCATACTGGAAAGAGCAGGTTTTTTTAAAACAGAAAAAAGCCCTGAAAGAGTAAAGAAAGGGAAAAAAAACCTGAGCAACACAAAGCTAACCATGCACTAGGACTTGGAAAATGTGCGATTCCCTTAGTTAAATCAAAGCAATCTTGGCTTTTAGCTCACATACATCTGCATAAATAGCAAACTACAGCAACCCTGCTTGAAACACACATAAATGTGTCTTCCCCAATACCTTTGTGATTCAGATCAACCTCTCTCTCTTCAAACCTGAGCAACATCTGAGACAAACCAGCAAGCTCAGGAAAGTAAAGGTAATAACAGCCGTTTTAACTAAACTAGCCAGAGGTGAATTTTAACGTAGTTTTCTAAGAGCAGCAGCCAGAAACTCCACATGGTGTTAGCCCTGTATCTCAAACTCAGCCATTAGCCAGAGTGGCAGTCTGGACTACTAGTCCAGTAGTCCAGACTGCCACTCTGGCTAATGACTCTGATGCTCACGCCATTCAGTCATCATGTGAATCTTTAGTATTTTTCTCAGGAATGTTTTGTCACATGCTGGCTGGCCTCAGATCATTCCCATGTAATCCTACTCAGAAGCTTAAGTCCAAGACAAGACTTTAGGATTTAGGACACACTGCCTCTTCCTAATGAGACATTCTGCAGAACTTTCTGCTAAGAAGTGCTTGATAATCACTGCAAAAAAAACCCCTACTACATAAAAAGGCATTATCTGAATACAGCTGGGAACAAGATCATCAGTTTCATCAGTGGTTTACAAAAGAATTGATTTTTATTTCTGGTGGTGTACTCTGAATTCAAACCTTTCCTAAAGCTTGTTTTATGAAACGCCACTATATTTGCCAGTTAATTTCAGGACATTCTTTACCATGGCCCCAATGCCCTCGAAGATGTGATGCAATTCTGTCTCACACATAAAGGCTGGGGTAGTGACCACCTTGTTTTTCAAGTCCACATGAGCTTCGTGGAAGAGAGTTAAGGAAAGTATAACCAACCCAGTACTTATAGACACTGACTGCAAAAAGAAACAAAGCAAATAAAAACAATCCCAACTATCTTCCTTTACACACAGGCAAACTGAAAGCTAGTTCCTATGAAAGGAGTGGTTTTACTTACTTTGCCAGAAATACCTGAATCTCATTGAGACTACAATGCTAGTATTGTATTACAGATTACAAGAAAAAATGAGAAACTCCTCATCTAGAAGTTACTGGTTTGGAATAAAGATCGTTTGACTACTACTTTATCCTTTTGGGGAGAGAACTGAGGCTCAAAGAAAACTTACTAGTTATGGGTCTGCATGAGACCGTATGAATCAGTCTGTACACGTATTGCACACAGCACCTCTGAATTAACTGTGGTGCTGGCTATGCCAAAAGAAGTGAGTATTATACATCAGGAATCACACAGCTATTGTTACAGCCATGAGCTTCATGTATGGCTATACAATTGGAAGAATTTGGAATAGAAGCACATGTATGTGCTTCTATATGGCTTTACAACTGGAATAATGTATAAACCAAGAGTATTCACTGCTTCTCAACTCTCAATTTCTCAAATGACAGTCACCAAATGTTAATGAGAAAGGATATGGTTACTTCTTTGACACAATGTTTTGCTCCTAGTGCTTTAATGGCACCTGCAGTTCCAGCATAAGGCCACTTTCCACCTTCCTCTACTTCGTGTCCCACAGTAACTTCAGCACCAGGGAGTACTTTTGCCACCAGGACTGGTGAAATGCAGCACAGCCTGCAAGAAAAATAGGAAAGGGAAGTCCAAGAAATCCCCTTCTTTAAAAGGATGAATTGCATTTATAAAGATTCTAGAGTCTGTACTCTTAAAGATCTGAAAAACAAATGTGAAAAGGTCATTTCTTCTGTCCAGTATCCAGGTTTTCCTGCCCAACAAGTAAATGTGGTTTTTTTCATAACTACTTCTCTCTACTCTCACAAACTTGAAGGATGACTTTAAAAAAAGCCATGCATGCAAAACGCACACTTTTTTCTACCTTCCATGCCAACCTCTACATACCTACACAGAATTAATTTGATCTCCACTCTCAAGCTACCACTCCGCAGCAGTATTTGTAAGGGCCCAGCTCCTATTATGTACATACCCAATAGGTTTGCCTGCTTTGTGGAACTCCTGAAGGACCCGTTCGACTTCTTTGTGCACTTTGCAATCCTTCCCGTCCACAGCAAAGGTGGATCTGTCACAAGAGACAGTCATGAACACCTCATTACAAAGCTAAGCATTCAGATGTGCACTGACACTCAGAACATCCCTCAATGGCCACCACAAATTAGAATCCGAACTTCAGTGAAGGAGAAGGGGCAGCTCCTTGATACAGCAAAAATCTACAAAGCAGCAGAAAATGTGGAGGTGGGAAGGTGATGCAGGCAGGGGTGTGCAGGCAGCAGACTGCAGCTCTGCCTTGGCTCCAGACCATGCTGTTACCGCTGCAAGATCCCAGCCCCGGCCCTGGAGCAGCTCCCTGCCTAGCCATGCACCGTGCCAATGCTGCTAGGGCCTGTCTCCATGGAAATCCTGGCCCCATGCTGTCACAGCCCTGCTGCTGCTGGGGTCTCCATGGACACTGGCTGCAGTGACGCAGACAGGGGCTACTGGGAAACAGAGTCCAGCCACCAGCCAGATCCGCCATTTTGCTTGCCCCCATTTTAAATAAACACACTGCTCCAAAAATCAAAAGAAAATGTCCCCCTGTGTTGACAAGCAAACTTTCTCAAGACAAATACATGCTATTTTTTGAAAGCAAGTTATTTAATAAGTTTACTGACACACAGATACATTGTAGCCAAAACTAAGCACCAAGAAATAATCTGAAACTAAAAATTTTACCTTCACTTTCCACACTGTGCCCCAACAAACCACAGCGTCAGAGGGAAAAAATATTTTTTATGTAACTTGCACTGTCGACTAATTTTAATGGGGAATTTTTAGTATGACAAATGGAGAGAGACTTAGTGCTGTTATCCTGCAGCAATAAGAATCATATGGGAAAATCCCAGCCTATCTAAGCACTGCACTGAGAACATTATCCCATGGCAATCTCCAAACTCAGTAAATTGATGCATTCTATAAAAAGGCAATTAACTGTTTCTTGTTACTACTGTGAGTTACACGTAAAAGATTTAAATTACTGCTTACTTAACTTGGCACTCACAGGTTTTTAGCAGCTCCAAAGCCACCAGGGAAGATCACAGCATCATGGTCCTGTGTAGTAAGTTTAGCCAGGTTTGTGATTTTACCACGAGCAATCCTTGCTGATTCCGTTAAAACATTTCTTGGAGAACCAGAAATAAAACAGTTAGAAGAAAAAGACTTTGTGTGTGCAAGGGTGCAAGTATATAAAGGAATTATGTCATTTTTGAAGAGTAAGAAACCATCATGGCTTTGAATAAACATAGCAATGGTGACTTCTGAAACAAAACTAGCAGGAAATACAGTACCCATTTGAGATAAGGGAGACTGCATATGGTAACCACAAGAAAAAGCATCTACTTAAACATAGCTTTTACCTCGATTCAGCCTCAGCAGACTGTCCTTTGGTGTGGTCAATAACGTGCATCTGAAGAATATCTGGAGCATACATCTGAACTTCAGCTCCCTTGCGACTCAGGTGGAACAGTATGCTACAACACAGGCATAAAATACATTGAAAACCTTCAGAGAGAAGATGTCATAATGGCAAACAAATTACAGCAGGACTTTTATTTGCCTCTAAGTCCTGCTAGAGACATATTCCTTGTTTTGAGAGAAAAAAGAACTGGTAAAGTACCATCAACTAAAACTACACATTGCCAGCATTAATAGAATGCATACAGCGTAATAGTTGGCCAGCAGGGTGGCTGATGAACTGCAGGCATTACTTCAATCCCTTTAGCTGTCTATAACTATTTCAGTGACCAGTTGGCCTTCCTTCAGAAATGGCAGCAAAAGTCACACCAAGAGATATTAAGATGAACACACCTGGTGTACTAGTCTTATAAGCAAGTCTGACTCAGAAATGAATACTCAGAAAGCTGGCTATAAAATTAAATCTATGATTCAGGTGGCATGAATGGAGGAACGAGAGGTACTGCTCAAGAGAGCAGGCCTCTCTCAACACTTCACTACTCTGGTTTAGTAGTTGGTAGCCTTACACTGTGCCCAATCATTTCCCTCTGAAAAACTGTGATATAAGAGCGTACTGAGGAACATAAAGCTGGGACAAAACAGTGGCATCCCCTGGCTGTCAAAAAGATCCCAGAGGGGAACCACCTACCATCAAGACTATTTCAGGGTAGTACTGAGCAAGTGGAAATTAATTTGATATGATAAAATGCTCTATTGTGAAGCAGTGTACTTGGTAGCTGTGTTGGTCTGAGCCAAAAAGACATACAAAAAACTAGAACTCAGAGGGAGCTGAAGATGGAAGTCTGTCCCTCTGGGTCCATGAGAGTGTCTTTGTGAGCTGTGTTGAGTAGCTCTTGCCATTTTCCAGTTGGTCTAATAAAAGGTACCATTTTGGAACCAAGAGTTCTAGGTTTTGGTATGTCTATTGTGAAGGACACATTGCTAGAACCTGAATTACACAAAGCTGCTTACGCAGAGGCTTCATGGAGTTCAGTACCATCATAAACACCGCATCCAGACAAGACCTGCAATAAAAAATACAATCAAGACCTTAGTTCTGACAAATTATCTATTTCCCACACTATGCTTTGGGGTCTTTTACAAACATTTGGGAATAGATATAGATCACAGTGACACTCTTAACAAACATGGATATTGGCCTTAGTGCTGATGTTTAACCTGCAGAGAGGAAATGTGCTATTGATCGTAGCCTGTCACATTGTAAATAGTTTCACAGCTCCCACCGACTTAAACAGCAAACCATATTCGCTGCTGCATTTTTTCCCACACTTCAAAAACTGAATGAATATCAGAAAATACTTACAGTTATAAAAAGTGTTTAAAAACAACACTATGGGCTTTCATGTTCCCAAATCACAAAAGAGGGTGCTTATATGTTACATGAAACACATTCCCGTCTTGAAACACGTGGAAAGGAGGGGTGTAAAGGTGCACTTCAAGTAGAATTTACTATGCTCTTTTGCTTTTTAGATAAATTTTTGTCTGAGGATCCTTATCTGAGTTGGTTTAGTGTCCCTTCCAACCCTGCTATTCTATGATTACAGGTGAATGGCTAAGTTTTTTTAAAAATTAAGCAAACTACTCTCAACTGAATTTCCCTTATAAGCTGATCTGAAAGCAATACTGCCAACATATCTGTCCATGTCAGCACCCTGACTCCACCCTAGTTATCACTGGAACTAAAAGAAAGTAAAGAAAGCAAGAGGTAGAGAGAAAAAGAGCTACTGTACTTCTGTAGCGCTATTTTGTTCATTTGATAGCGCCATGTATGTCATCAACTTTTTCTGTTTGTGAGGGTACATATTGACAGAAAATAGAAAAAATATTTAAAAATAGGAAAGTATGAATCTAAAACCTAAATAATCCAAGAGGATTGCCAGTTCCTGAAACTATTACAAACTCATGTTTTAAAAAGTGACTACAATTCCAGTTGGCAATGACGGCATGCGCTCAATAACTTAACACCTTAACTCTGACTCTCTACTCATTTGAGAAGATTAATGAACACTTTATCAATTACTTATTCCACAGATGCACAGAAAAATGCAGGTGAAAGGGACCTCAGCTGGTCATTTAGTCCAACCTCTTGCTCAAGGCATGATCATCCCTGTATAAACTCTTTCACTTAAGTATTTGTCTAACCTGCTCATAAAAATCTCCAAGGCTAGAAAGTCCACAACTTCTCTGGATAGCTTGTTCCAATACTGAACAACTCCCAAAGTGAGAAATTCTTCCTAACATTCAACCTACATTTCTCTTGCTACAAAAGAAGAGTACTTACTGCCCCCTGTCCTGCCCCATCCCACAGCTGCAGAGAATAAATCAGCACCATCCTCTATAAAACTATTCTTCAGGTATTTGAAGACAGTTATAAAATGCACCCTCAATTTTCTCTTCTCTAGACTGTATAATCCCTGCTCATTCATCTTTTCCTCCTAAATCTGTTTCCCAGGCTTGAATCATTTCAGTGCTCTTTGCTGGACTTTTTCTAATTTGTCCACATCTTTCTTGAAGTGTGGTGCCCAAAACACATACCCTGGATTTTGGCGGTGAGCCTTGCCCCCACTCATCCTGCTCCCCTGCTCCTGGTCCCTCCACAAGCCCTGCAGGCCAGATACCATGGCTCCTCAGACTGCATCCTGTGGACACCTCCTCAATTAGGCACTGAACCACTGGTGATGACAAACCTCTTCGCACAATGATCCAACCAGTTATATACCCATCTGACAGTACTTTCCTCTAGACCAGTGGTTCTCAACCTATTTGCCACAGCAGGCCACATTTGCTTCTCTCAATGTGTTACATGGGCCACACTCGCACAACTTACTTCCTGTGTATCCATTTAAAACATGTTTGGTATCCGTTATCTAACAAGTCAATATTCTGTAATACCTCTCATTTTTACACTGTCAAATGTCTTTACTCTTTTTTTTTTTTAACAGGATGTCACATGGGCCACAGCAGAGTGCTGGGTCACATGCAGGCCACAGGTTGAGAGCCACTGCATAGACTGGATTCCCTTAGTTTACTAATGATATTACTTGCATGCATATATATTTGACCTTTCATATAAGACATTTCATAAATTTACCAAGCTCAATTTTAAAACTAGTTAAGGTTTCTACCTGTACTACCCCAAAACAGAGGCTATTCCAGAATCTCACTGGTCTGATACTTTGAAAACTTGATTTTCAGCCTGAATTTACTCTCAGCCAGTTTATAACTGTTTGTCCTTGAGCCAATCTTGCCCTTCAGCTTACAGAGTTCTTCTCCCTTTCTAGTGTTTATCTCCTGATGTAATTCTAGCAAACAGTCATATTTGCTTCCAGCCATCATTTTGATCCCCTCCCAGCCATCATTTTGCCCTGTTTAGCCTAGCAATCCCTTTCAACCTTCTCTCATAAAATAGACCCTCTTTCCCTAGACTTCCTAGTAACCCTTCTTGGTACCTGTTGCAGTTTGAGTTCCTCTTTCCTGAACAAGAAAACGAAACTTGTATGCAGTATTCCGGATAAGTCTCAATAGTAGCATTAACACTTCCCTGCATCTACTGGAGATGCCTTGCCTAAAAGTGCATTTGCCTTTTTCACAGTTGCCTTGCTGGCAGTCAGAGTGATCCTGCAATCAACTGATACACCCAAGTCTTTCCCTTCCTCTTTTATTTCCAACCAGTAAGCCCCAAATTAGCTGCAGGAAATATTGTAAGAACTCCCTGAGTGCATGACCTTGTACTCTGTGCCACTAAATTTCATGTTTTCTATCACTCCAGTCCTCAAGGTCATCCAGTTCTTCCTATATAAAGCATCAATGCTCCCCCCCCACACCGACGATGCCTCCCAACTTTGGGACATGAGCAAACTTCATGTACCATATTTTCTCGCATTCCACAGGCCCACAAATAACACATGCCCCTTGGTTTGGGGAGGCAGAATGAAGAAAAAAAGATTTTTTTCAGACTTTTAACTGCCACAGCACAAGCTCACAACAGCTGAATGCTGGCCATGTACAAAAAGGGGAGACTTACTCCCCAGTATCACCTACTCGTGTCCTGTAGTTCCACAACTACAGTTTTAACCCTGTTACAGCTGCTGGCAAAAGCTACTGCCATTCCAGCATGGAAATCAGCTCCCTTACTTAATGAACATACCCCAGTTTTGGAGAATTTTGGTTTTTTGCGGGGGGGTTGGGTTTTTTTTTGCAGGGGAAGTGCATGTGGTATGCAAGTAGATATGGTAGCTAGTTTCTGCACTGAGGTTATTTGTTAAAATATTAGATTAAATCTGTCTCAAGACCTGAAGTCTACAAGTAAGCTTTCTCCAACTTTTTATTACACCTGGGTTTTTTTCCTTTTCAGCCATTTCCTCTCACTTTACCATTTTTCTACTAACCCTCATCTTCTCCCACATAACTAATAGTGTCTCATGTGGTACTCCATCAAGTGCTTTATTCTAGTCGAAATGTGTTTTAATAGGCTTGCACCACATATTAATTAAACAGTACTTTAGTGGTGGGGGAATAAAAACTACATTTGTTATTTTCCCACTACATAGTAATAACCTTCCCCTTCAACATCGCCACTACTGGACCTGTGACTTCATATGTTACTTCTTCCAGATTTTTGGAATGGAAATTATATGCTTCCTCAAATATCTGAATTTTGTTTCTACTTTGGCTAAGGCAACTTCCATTTCCACACCCCACTCCCTTAGCCATCCTGTCTGTCTCTACCCTGTGTTCGATATCATTGATGTTACCAAAAAAAAGCATAAAAAAACCAGTAGCTCGCCTTCAGTTGCTACCCCAGGGATATCCAACTTCTAAGAGGCTGGGAATGTACACCTTGTGGGTCACACCAGGAGGGAACTACATGTTCCCAGGCCACTGCTGCACTGTGCGCCCATACAGCCATACCCCTCACTTTGTGCTCATGTACGCTTTCTGCTCCCCCTCCGCCACTGCACTGTGTGCCCACATGACCCCAGACTCACCATCTGCTCCCTGGGCTGCACTGCCCAAACCCCAGAGGCTGAAGGTGGCAGCTGGAGAAGGGGAAGCTCAGAGCCCCTGGATGCTACTGCAGTCCAAGAGGTAGGGGAAGTGGTGGCAAACAGGGGCAACCTAATCTCTCATGCCTACAACCTATGGGCCACTAATTGAACAGCTTTGCTCTACCTCATCCTCAACGCAACGTATCCTCATTTCTTTCCTTTTTCTCTGTCTTCAGATGGCTAGAAATCCTTTGCTATTTGCTTTAAGTTCACCATATCATCTAACAAAGCAGGTTGCAACCTACAAAACTTCATGCCTGCAAATGAGTTAGTCTCTAAGTTGCCACCCTTCCCTGCCTTCTGCCTAACTTCAGATTAACACAGATACTCCCCTTTCTCCTCTGTAAAGGCTTAAATGTTGGCAACTGTCTTCATCCCTAATCTTCCTGACCTCTAGGACACAGCTTACTTTGCTGATCCATCCCTTTTCTCCAAGCCTTGTGGGCTCTCCTTACTCCTACTTTCCTTTTTGTTTTTGCCTTTTAAATTTTGTCCAGTTAGGTCTGGAGCCATTCTCTATAACTTTTTTCCTGTTTGCTTGGGATACAGGTTCTAGCCAGTTTTTACAACTGGACTTAAAGAAATCCCAAGACTCCTCCTCCCCATTCAAGCCCAAGAGCTGTTCAGTCCAGTGACTGCGTGAAGCTAATTTTCCTACTTTCTCAGAGTTTGCCCATTTGAAAAATGACAGACCTGTTGTTGTTGATCCTTCCATAAAACTTAAAAGTGAATCAATGTAGGAATGCTTGATCCAAGGTTGTTTTCTACAACCAGCTCTTCTATAATATGTTCATACATTACCTCCAGCTGGTTCAGTGACTTGATGAATACCTGAACCCAACCATTATTAGTAACCTTTATTTTCCCTATTCCTATTTTGTTTCTT